ACACGAAGCTATGACTTACATCTCAGATATGAGGATGAGGAACAGGATGTGGAACAGAGTTTTTCACCGTAGATGCCTCAGATTTTACTCTGTTTACCATTACTCTTTGTGTTCTATTTGTTAGGAAGTTATAGGTACATAATACGTATTTTAAGAAAAATAAATAAAAATAATATATGAGGGATGGTTTTGGTCGTAATGTCAGTAATGTCAATTAGTCATTTAGCAGATAAAAAGCTGATGGCAGACCTCTGGATGAGCTTGTTTTTAGAGGGGCAACAGATATATCAGATCATTACTTAGTTGTAGCTAAAGAAAGAGTTAGATGAGGTACAAGGAGAATGGCATCAGCGAGCAAGAGTGAGAGGTTAAAGTTTATAAACTGATGGAGGAAGTAGTTAGGGTAAGATATAAGCAACTACGAAGATGGGCTAGTGAGAGTATAAATAATGAAAAGGTTGAAGAGGTATAGGGTAGAGTTAAGAATGTAATATTAGTGTGTGTAGCAGAAGTTTGTGGATATAGGAGGGTGGTTGCAGGAAGACTGAGGAGCAGCTGGTGGAATAATGAGGTAGAGGAGGAAAAAGTTAGCATATGAGAGGTTTTTACAAATCAGAACAAATTTTCCTGAGAATAAGAAAAAAATTCGGAGTGAGATTAATAGATTGAGAAAGCCTGGAAACGAATTAACTTAACAGTTACAAACAGGAACCTGATACTAGCATACCTCTCTCTCAGGATGTATATCTTACCGAAGAAGTGCAATAAATACGCCATTCACCAACTTTCAGGTGAAAATCAATATTAACTGATACTATGGAAGCTATTGTCAAGATAGATAACACAGTTCTCTTCCTAACACTGATGTTATGTTATCTCTAACACTGATGTTAAGCTAACCCTGACACTGATGTCAGACTATCCCCAACACAGACGTCAAATTATTCTTATTTTATTTTCTGGAGCACTGGGGTAGTATTTGCTAGGTTCCAGTCGTTCAGTTGTTTTCCTTTGCTCTCCTTTCCTCATTCGTCGAGTGCTCCTTCTGGTGAAGAGGCAATCTGGAGTTCGGAATCTTTCAAAATTCAACAGGTAATTGATCTGCCTCATTTGATTTGTTTATCTTTTGTTTCTCGGTATACCTGAACTTATCAAAGCTGGTACACTGTGAAATGTTGTGTAGTCTGTCAGTGCCATACTCCACCGAGGAATCGTGGTGAATGCCTGTATATTCTGTCGTGATTGATTGAATGTAAAGCCAGTTTGTTTGGGAATGACGAGAGAGAGAGAAAAGAGGAGAGAGAGAGAGAGAGAGAGTGAGAGAGAGAGAGAGAGAGAGAGAGAGAGAGAGAGAGAGAGAGAGAGAGAGAGAGAGAGAGAGAGAGAGAGAGAGAGAGAGAGAGAGAGAGCGTAAATAAAACGAGCTTGAATCTCATTTCATCTCAGAGGGGTAAGAGGATTAGAGAAAGATCCACTGTGGTCCTACAATGCTCTTAACCTGGTTACTACACGTTCACTACGTGTGTCAACCAGGGTAAATGATGGTGGCTGCCCATCCCTCCCCTTCTGTCTTTATCCCTCTCTATGTCTCAAGTTAATCCTCTGGTCCTGCCACAGGAAGCACCGTACAGACCTGTGTGCTTCATCCTCGGATTTACTCCAGCAAGAGGATAAGAAGGGCATGGATGGTAAACGAAAGATGAAGGGAAGGCACGAGGAGGGATGAAGGGCGGGGGTGGATAAAACGAGGAGATGGGAAGCAAAAGAATAGAAGAAGCGATAATGATGGAGAAGAAGATAGAACTCAGTCTGTTGTATTTTTACTTCATCTATTCGTTAGAGCAGTCCGTGAAAATATTTTTAAGGATACTGTAAGAGATTTGTTTAATGCTTCTGTAGGAAATTTATATAATATACATGCAAATGTGTTGATGTGTATAACATGTCAAATACTGAGACTGTCAGGCAGAGTCAAGGTCTGCTGACCTTGACTGTCGCCTGACCTTGATTGTTGGATGACCTTGACTGTCTGCTTACCCCTGCTGATCTTGAGCGTCTGCCTACCCCTGCTGACCTCTCCTAACCTTGACTCTGGCGTAACGTCATCACGTGGCTTGTCTACCACCGTCCTCTGGTCGCTTCCACTGCTCAGCTGACAATGAGCCAGGATGGGCCTGGCCAAGACCACAGATCAACTTTCTCCTCTAGACTTGTTGAGGGATTTTTGCTTCTGAATATCTGTCTGTCTGTCTGTCTGTCTCTCTCTCTCCTCTCTCTCTTCTCTCTTATCTCTCTCTCTCTCTCTCTCTCTCTCTCCTTCTTCTCTCTCTCTCTCTCTCTCTCTTTAAACCTCTCTCCTCTTATCCTATTTTCTGGGAAAATCAAGCTCCCCTTGGCCTTTCTTTTTCCTCTACTTTTCTCTTTCCTCTCTCTCTCCCCTCTCTCTCTCTCTCTCTCTCTCTCTCTCTCTCTCTCTCTCTCTCTCAGGACAACAGTGTTGTTGTGCTAGAAGACAATAGATGAGCATCACTACCCGTGCAGGTGTGTTGATGATATCGTTAAGGGATAATCAATGTGTGCCACCTGCCTGGACGCCTTGACCTGTGAAGCACCTTTCTCAGCTGGCTGGCACTAAGGGGGAGAGGGGGAGGGGAGGCAGGGGAGAGGAGAGGGTGGGGGAAGCACGAATCTGTACTGTTACTGCGGTACGGACTGTCTGAGTGGCTGACGCCATTGTCAGCTGCTGTGGTACAGACTGAGTGGCTGACACCATCATCAGCTTACTACGAACGAGGTGTTGAGGTCAGCCACTGAAGCCCTCCCTGACATCGTCAGCATGTTGTGATGGCCCTGACGGTGACCAGACCATTCTAAAGTGTGGCTGCCAGGTGGAGGCGTGGGACCACCACTACAAGGTCTCATGCCTGCAGCTGGCGTGGAGTCAGCAAACACATACCCACCGGTTACCACGGGGCTTGTGGTTGGTATCGTCTGTACTGTGCAACTATTACGATACCTACTCAGGAAAGACAGCAATATTTCTCCACATATAACTAAATAAGTTGGTTAATGGGAGGTTTAAAGCCTATCTACTATACCAGGGTCATTAAGGCTCCACGGTAACCTTTTCACTACCAGACAAGAATATTTTAATCGGCCTTAACCATAATTTTTAAAAAGGTTACAGGTTAGCCAGTGGAAGGCCTCGGTCAGATGACCAAAAGCTCCAGCTGCGGGTTATCATGTGACTAAGACCCTCGTCAGGAAACACTTGTCCTGTTTCCTGACAAACATGTACACTGTATGTGTTTGTCAGGAAAGACTACCACCTACTGAGATGTTGAATTATTTACATATTAACCTGTAAACAATAATAGGGGATTGTTTGTAGAGTCGTGAACTCGGTGGCAGGAACATTAATATAGCAGAAATATTTGTGGTCATCTGTTTTCTGCAACACTAGGCAAGCAGCAACAACCAAAGCAACAGCAACAAAAGCAACAGCACCAACAGCAGCAGAAGTAAAAGAAGCAATAACAGAAACAGAAACAGCAACAGCAATAGAATTATCAGCAACAAAAGCAGCATCAGCAGCAAGAACAGCAGCAAGAACAGCAGCAGGAACAGCAGCAGCATCAGCAGCAGGAACAGCAGCAGCATCAGCAGCAGGAACAGCAGCAGCATCAGCAGCAAGAACAGCAGCAGCAAGAACAGCAGCAGCAAGAACAGCAGCAGGAACAGCAGCAGCAGCAGCAGCAGCAAGAACAGCAGCAGGAACAGCAGCAGCAGCAGCAGCAGCTGACGCTTTGGCTTCAGTTCTCACCGGAAAAGTATTTGTTTGACTGCCATCACTGGCCTGTGTTTACACTCTTACACTAACTTCTTCCTTTCTCCTCCTCTCACTCTATTCCATTCATCACCCTCTTCAACCCCTCCCCCCCACCCCACCCTTTCCCAATTCTCACTTCTCTCACTCCACTCTTGTCTCACAAACACACACACACACACACACACACAGACACACACACACACACACACACACACAAAACACACACACACACACACACACAGACACACACACACACACACACACACACACAAACACACACACACACACACACATACACACACACACACACACACACACACACACACACATCTTAGTGCTCCATCAGTACAATAAATCGTCCATCAAGGTTGTTAATGGAAGGATATTTCAAAGCTTTTGTTTAAAGAAAGAATATATTGAAACTACGTAAAAATAAGTTCTGGATGACTGTTGTGTTGTTAATGGTACAAAATACCGACAACTTGATTAAGACGCATGTGCAGCAGTTGGGTATCTTTATTATTAAAACGTTTCGCCCACACAGTAGGTTTCTTCAGTCAAAAAGAGAGACAGCAGGTTGTAGTAGTGAAATAAAGATGTAATCAGTGGAGAAATACTATCCATCTCACTACTACACCTGTTGTCTCTGTTTCTGACTGAAGAAGTTTACTGTGTGGGCGAAACGTTTTAATAATAAAGATGCCCAACTGTTGTTACTTTGTCACCAAGACTAACGTTACAAACCCTATTCCTGTTTTATTTGTTTTGCATAAACATGTGAGGTAATCAACCAACAAAATGGAAATGGAAACACAATGACGTTCCGGGTGCATCCTGGACCCTTGTTTTGTCGAGTGTGAGAAGAAAAGTCGAGAAGGGCTGAAATCACTCTCGCGCCTTTCCATTGTGTCGTGACACGGGTAATTTTGACGATCCGTTCTTTCACCCGTCCCGGAGGAACCCACACGACACCTAGTCTTACGTTCCACGTTCTTCGTTATTTTGAAAATTACCTCATCTATCTCGTTATGTTCACTGAGAGTTCAGGGTAGTTTGACCTGTGTTGCTTTCTACTAAGATTGTTACAGTGAGCATGGCGTCGTAGTGTGCCCTCTGTCACTGTGTCGGTGTTAATGAGATACAGTTTTTCCTCTTTCTTCATCACAGGAGCAGTGTGATGGTGAGGTACTGGCCATGCCTGGTGGTGCCTTGTGTCTTGGTGTGTTGTTGGTGCGCTCTCTCCACCGCCCTCCCGACATCCTTCCTCCGCCCAGGTTAGTATCAACATCTTCGTCCTCAGCCAGTGTCTTCCATAACACCTTAACCAGTGTCTTCCATAACATCTTAACCAGTGTCTTCCATAACACCTTAACCAGTGTCTTCCATAACACCTTAACCAGTGTCTTCCATAACACCTTAACCAGTGTCTTCCATAACACCTTAACCAGTGTCTTCCATAACATCTTAACCAGTGTCTTCCATAACACCTTAATCAATGTCTTCCATAACACCTTAACCAGTGTCTTCCATAACACCTTAAAAAGTGTCTTCCATGACACATTAACCAGTGTCTTCCATAACACCTTAACCACTGTCTTCCATAACACCTTAACAAGTGTTATCCATAACACCTTAACCAGTGTCCCCCATAACACCTTAACCACTGTCTTACATAACACCTTAACCACTGTCTTCCATAACACCTTAATCAGTGTCTTCCATAACACCTTAACAAGTGTCTTCCATAACACCTTAACCACTGTTTTCCATAACACTTTAACCAGTGTCTTCCATAACATCTTAACCAGTGTATCCCATAACACTTTAACCAGTGTCTTCCATAACACCTTAACTAGTGTCTTCCATAACACCTTAATCAGTGTCTTCCATAACACCTTAATCAGTGTCTTCCATAACACCTTAACCAGTGTCTTCCATAACACCTTAACCAGTGTCTTCCATAACACCTTAACCACTGTCTTCCATAACACCTTAACCACTGTATTCCATAACACCTTAACCAGTGTCTTCCATAACACCTTAACCACTGTTTTCCATAACACCTTAACCACTGTATTCCATAACACCTTAACCAGTGTCTTCCATAACACCTTAACCACTGTTTTCCATAACACCTTAATCACTGTATTCCATAACACCTTAATCACTGTATTCCATAACACCTTAACCAGTGTCTTCCATAACACCTTAACTAGTGTCTTCCATAACACCTTAATCAGTGTCTTCCATAACACCTTAACTAGTGTCTTCCATAACACCTTAACTAGTGTCTTCCATAACACCTTACCCAGTGTCTTCCATAACACCTTAACTAGTGTCTTCCATAACACCTTACCCAGTGTCTTCCATAACACCTTAACCAGTGTCTTCCATAACACCTTAACTAGTGTCTTCCATAACACCTTAATCAGTGTCTTCCATAACACCTTAACCAGTGTCTTCCATAACACCTTAACCAGTGTCTTCCATAACACCTTAACTAGTGTCTTCCATAACACCTTAACCATTGTATTCCATAGCACCTTAACTACTGTTTTCCATAACACCTTAACCACTGTATTCCATAACACCTTAACCAGTGTCTTCCATAACACCTTAACCAGTGTCTTCCATAACACCTTAACCAGTGTCTTTCATAACACCTTAACCACTGTCTTCCATAACACCTTAACCACTGTCTTTCATAACACCTTAACCACTGTTTTCCATAACACCTTAACCAGTGTCTTCCATAACACCTTAACTAGTGTCTTCCATAACACCTTAACTACTGTCTTTCATAACACCTTAACCACTGTTTTCCATAACACCTTAACCAGTGTCTTTCATAACACCTTAACCACTGTTTTCCATAACACCTTAACCAGTGTCTTCCATAACACTTTAACCAGTGTCTTCCATAACACCTTAACTAGTGTCTTCCATAAAACCTTAACCAGTGTCTTCCATAACACATTAACTAGTGTCTTCCATAACATCTTAACCAGTGTCTTCCATAACACCTTAACCAGTGTCTTCCATAACACCTTAACTAGTTTCTTCCATAACATCTTAACCAGTTTCTTCCATAACACATTAACCAGTGTCTTCCATATCACCTTAACCAGTGTCTTCCATAACACCTTAACTAGTGTCTTCCATAACACCTTAACTAGTGTCTTCCATGACACCTTAACCAGTGTCTTCCATAACACATTAACCAGTGTCTTCCATAACACCTTAACCAGTGTCTTCCATAACACATTAACCAGTGTCTTCCATAACACCTTAACCAGTGTCTTCCATAACACCTTAACCAGTATCTTCCATAACACCTTAACCAGTGTCTTCCATAACACCTTAACCAGTGTCTTCCATAACACCTTAACCAGTATCTTCCATAACACCTTAACCAGTGTCTTCCATAACACCTTAACTAGTGTCTTCCATAACACTTTAACCAGTGTCTTCCATAACACCTTGACCAATGTCTTCCATAACACCTTAACTAGTGTCTTCCACAACACCTTAACTAGTGTCTTCCATAACACATTAACCAGTGTCTTCCATAACACCTTAACCAGTGTCTTCCATAACACCTTAACTAGTGTCTTCCATAACACCTTAACTAGTGTCTTCCATAACATCTTAACCAGTGTCTTCCATAACACATTAACCAGTGTCTTCCATAACACCTTAACAAGTGTCTTCCATAACACCTTAATTAGTGTCTTCCATAACACCTTAACTAGTGTCTTCCATGACACCTTAACCAGTGTCTTCCATAACACATTAACCAGTGTCTTCCATAACACCTTAACTAGTGTCTTCCATGACACCTTAACCAGTGTCTTCCATAACACATTAACCAGTGTCTTCCATAACACCTTAACCAGTGTCTTCCATAACACATTAACCAGTGTCTTCCATAACACCTTGACCAATGTCTTCCATAACACCTTAACTAGTGTCTTCCATAACACCTTAACTAGTGTCTTCCATAACACCTTAACTAGTGTCTTCCATAACACCTTAACTAGTGTCTTCCATAATACAATGAGCTCCCTCACCTCATCGTGTGTTATAATTATCAGCTTTACAATGACCATAAATGGATGAAAGGACACAGGCGAATGACTAAGGTCCCAGGACAAATGTATCCACTACAGTTTTCCTAAATGTATGCAGTATCAATACGCTTTCTTCTACCTTCAGTAACCACGTAGTACAATGCAACTTATTATATAAATCATTTAATTTTCAGATTCCTTACATTCTTATTATAGCTGAAGTCAATTCCATTGCAAAAAAAAATATACTTACAGTACTTAGAAAGTTGGTCTTACAACCTAGTTTCCGTTTGAAACTTGTAAATTAGCTTCTGACAGAGGGTCTTTTGTGTTAAGAATTACTTTTATTTTTTTTTTTGTTTGGTAAAAGGATACAAGTGCAACTAATGTGACATTTTATTGTGGCAACGTCTCGCTTTTCAGGACTTTGTCACGCACTAAAGGCTTGACAAAGTTCCTGGAGAGCAAAATGTTCGACACAATAAAATGTCGCATTAGTTGCACTTGTTACCTTTTACCTAACATATTGTCGGTAATTTTACCAACATTATTTTCATTTTGCTATATATATATTGAAAGTTATTTTTTTTTTAGCTAAAATTGTTACTACTCTCCGCAGATGATCCTGCGGAGGTGGTTGTGAAGCGGATGGCAGGAGCACCTAACGAGTCCATGCTACGCTACATCCTGATGGCCATATCCAACCCAGCAGCTCGATACCAGTCCCCACAGCTCCTTAACCGAGGCGTCAGGAGGATTGGCTCGGAGTTCCTTGGCAAAAGATCAGCTGGGAGGCTCACGGCTGCCGACAACCCCGGAAATTTTGTGAGCGAAAACACCAGCAACGAAGACGGTACTGAGAAAGACCTGAAGAAGGAGCAGTTCAGTTTTACCGGTCAATATGACTACGACGACAGAGCTGCCGAGAACCCCAGCGAGGACTTGTTTACAGCGAAACCCAAGAAAAGCGTTCGAGGCTTCCATGCAGACAACAGTTATGAAGGACTGAAAAACTTCTTTGGTATGCTCACCTCAAAGAAAATGGGATCAGAGTTCTTAGGAAAGAGAATGGGTTCAGAATTCTTAGGCAAGAGAGTTGTAGATTCAGAATATCTAGGAAAACGGGCCATGGGATCAGAATTCCTGGGAAAAAGGGCCATGGGATCAGAATTTTTAGGTAAAAGGGCCATGGGCTCAGAATTCTTGGGAAAAAGAGCAATGGGATCAGAATTTTTAGGAAAAAGAGCCATGGGGTCCGAGTTTCTTGGCAAGAGGGCCATGGGGTCTGAGTTTTTAGGAAAGAGAACAATGGGATCCGAATTTCTGGGAAAACGAGCGATGGGTTCAGAATTTTTGGGCAAGAGAGCTATGGGCTCCGAGTTTCTAGGAAAGCGAGCCATGGGTTCAGAATTTCTAGGCAAGAGAGTTATGGGCTCAGAATTTCTTGGGAAGAGGTTATATGGACCTGAATTTGTCCGCGCATTAGAATATGATCAGAAGAGAGCAGTGGGCTCTGAGTTCCTCGGGTGAAGAGACTCCTCTAGTGCTACGAGATGTTTCAAAATGTGAAGAAAAAGTTGCAGTCCATACGAATTCTAGCAGGGAACTAATTCATACTTCTGTTTAATGTTAAGTAATTGAGCTTTCTAGGTTATCTTTAGTAAATAAGAATCAACAAACTAGGAATGTAAAACACAAGCAGCAGAGCGAAGTTTTTTATTAAACGACGTTTTTGATCTTTACTGATAAAGCAGTAGAGCGAAACGTAGTCCAGGAAAACAAAGCGAGGTCTGCAAGGTACATTTTACACTACTAGTTTGTGGGCTGCTGACCATTACTGCAGAGCTCGGGATAGATGTAATAGATTAGACTAGTCCGCCAGTTCTTCTTTAATAAGGATTCCCGTGTTAGTGAGATCACTCGGCAGACAGAGGGATGATAAGTGATGACCATCTAACATTTAGTAATGACGAGTGATGACCATCTGATATTTAGTAATGGCGAGTAATGACCATCTGATATTTAATAATGACGTGTGATGACCATTTAACATTTAGTAATGACTGGTGATGGCTATTTCACACTTAGGGATGAAGTCAAAATGACCCTCGCGTACTTGTTTTACAACAACATCCTAAAAAAAAAACTTATTTCGTATTGGTTGTGAAACATAATGCTTCCTGTAATAGCATTCGAAATAATGTCCATTAAATTTACATGTTTTTGCCAAAATAGACTACATCCTTCGTGGTAAGTTGACCATAAGTGGTTTCACAACCTAGATATTCTTTCATACTTGGTGGCATTCCAAAAACATCATAAATTGGTATTTGAGAGCTACTACCATGCTTGACTAGAGGATGGTGGTTCATCTCTGGTTGTCTCGTTGCATACTACATCATCAACAACCACCTCATTAGTCTATTTATCTCTGTGTTAATATTGTATTCATGGCCAAGAACAGTATTTGTTGACGATGGATTCTACAAATTGTAATAAACATATGTTTTGATTCGCGTTAATTCATTTTTTAATATGTCCAATTTCATCAACTGAAGTTTTATGTTATTATGTTCTCATTAATTTAGGATAAAAATATAAGAATGAGGGAATACTGCAGCATGTCTTCAGGCAGAAGGACACAAGTTTAACTAATGTGACTTTTACTATATCAACGTTTCACTCACCAGGAGCTTTGTCGATATTCGAAGCCTATATATACCCTGTGTGTTCATGTATTGTTTGTAACGGCTTGACAAAGCTCCTGGAGAGCGAAACGTTGCCACAATAAAATGTCACATTAGTTGCACTTGTGTCCTTTTACTTAACATATTGTCGGTAATTCTACCAACATTTATACACATACATTCAGGTATATGTAGAAATGTTCGTAAGAATGGTAAGAATGAGGGAACACTTTACTGGTCATGCCTAGGAAAATGTGAAATTCGAAATGTCTTTCCTATGAGTCGATAAAATATCTCAATGCAAGGAAAATGAGCCTATATAAATGGATTTCTAAAAATAAGTTTTTGTTTAATTGCGAATAACATTTTTCAAATTGATTATGCAAATAGACAATATCAAAAACATAAATGAAACTTGTTTCCAAATATTTTTTAAGTCTACAAGAAATATAAAGATGAACCAAAGACCAACATGGACACATTGCAAAAGGACAAAACTTGCAAGTCCATTTCATGAATTTCCTGAGAAAGAACAATAATTCTAGATGACTATTTGCTAGAAAGAAAGGCTATGAAGCAATTTCTTCCCTTCTTGATGCATAGATTTACTTTGCATATGAGAGAAAAATGAGGATGTAACAGGATTTTTCTTTGTGCTGCAATGCTTGCATGTAAATATCTTGGTATTCATGGGGCAAATTTAGGCTTTTTGGATGGCCTATCTTCCTCCTCATCATCACTTGACACCTGTGCATCCGGTGGCAAGTATTCATCACCATTGTCAAGCAATTCCAGGTCAGCTGGCTCTGGATTTGAGTTACTTTCCTCCAAAATGCACACATGTTTGGACTTCTCTTTGGAGGGACCACCATAAAACAATTTCTCATTGATCTGGAAGGACAATTAAAACGTTCTGTACACACCAAAACCTCTACAGAATTCATGTATGCATTAAAAAATTATAAATATTTATTTACTGAAATTGCTACTTTCGCCTTAACTGGCAGACCTATATATTTGCGGGCCTTTTTCCTTGCACTTTTTTCAGTTGCATGGTGCAGTCATATTATGCTTCACACAGACTTTAGTTATATATCAAAATATGCCTAAACTAGACACAAAACACAGACACAAAAATCAGTACTTACCGACATTGCAGAGGATAAAATCTAAGAGTATATGAGTGTAACTCAAGAAAAAAAAACTACTCTGGATGATGCCAAGCTAGAATTGTTTATATTTTGGTCTCTCAACCAATGGGAAACGAGCAGACATCGTTGCCACTTAGCTAGAGGGGCTCACAGAAGGCTGTGATTGGTCAGAACTAGAGAACGGGAACCCAGTTGCGTTGTGGGAGTAGGATGACATGCGCCAAAAACATGTATTCACGCCTGTATATATATATGGGCCTGCCCGATTTAAGCAGGCCTACTGGCCCATGCAAGGCAGGTCCAATTCACACCCACCCACATCTTCTCATGTACCTGCCCAACCTATATTTAAAGCTACCAAAAGTTTTCACCTCAATTACTCTACTTGGAAGTTTGTTCTACTCACCAACAGCTCTACTGCCAAACCAAAACTTTCCAATATACCTTCTAAGTCTAAATTTCTCCAACATTAATCCATTGCTGCGAGTTTTGTCTTGGTTAGATATTTTCAACACGCCATGTATATCCTCTTCATTTATTCATGTTTACCTTTTTTTGCACTTCAGTCATATCTCCCCTAATTCTACACCGTTCCAGAGAGTTCAAGTTCAGTGTCTGTTTTAGTAGGAAAAATATTTTATTTCTTGCACTCCTCTTATTTGTATAACAGATACTAAGAAATTTTTAACCTTGCTTTTCTCACTTGTCTTGTTTTATTTGCAGAACGAATTTCTTGTTTTTATTAGGAATCATTCTATGAGATATCCTGTTTTCTGAACGTCTGTCTAACATATCATGTGCCCATCCAACCTAAATTTAAAGTTACCCAAAGTTTTAGCTTCAATGACAGTACCTGGAAGCTTGTTCCACTCATCTATAGACAACACTACAGCCAAACTAGCGCTTCACTGTATACTTTTTAAATCATAACATCACCAACATGAATCCAGTGCTGTGAGTCCTCTCTTGGTTAGATATTTTCAACATGTTATTCACATTCCCTCTATTTATTCCTGTTTTCCATTTGTACATTTCACTCGTATCTCACCTAATTCTATGCCTTTTCCAAAAATAAAAAAAATGATAACACATATCAAATAAATCTGTAAAGAAATAATAAGTAGAGCTGGTATATGGGTGGGTGTGAGCTGAACCTGCCTAGCATGGGCCAGTAGGCCTGCTATACAGTATTTTCATTCTTATAGTCATGAAGAAGAGCTGTGGCTAGTGCTTAAATATGATTCATATGCAGCTTTCATAGAGCCTTACCTAGAGCCGCTTCCGGGGGTCACTGCCCCCGCGGCCCGGTTCCAGGCCAGAACTATATTATTATTATTATTATTATTATTATTATTATTATTATATTTTTGTTGTTGTTGTTGTTATTTTAAACCGGTAGGGTTCACAGCGCCTGAGGGAAATGAGACGCAATCAGGTTTGATCCTAGGAAATCGAGAATCCCTCTCACAGCCATTTAAGTCACTACAATATACCTAAAATTCTCACTGTCCTGTGATGGTTTCAAAGGCTGTTTACCCTTATTAAGCCAGATCAGAGCAATAGCAACAATTAAACTCTTAAGCCTCTAAGCCAGGCCATTGTTATAAGTGAGAGACACATCACACTTATGCTGGCAGACACTCACTATCCAAGTGTCATAAGTGTGTTGACTGAGAGGTTGCCTAGTATGTGTGGTAAACTGTGCTATTGACATTATTGCGTGACACATTCTACGTAGTAAGAACTGTGATTCTAATACCCTGCCTGGAATAGGTCAGAACTAATTCACAATATTGTACCTGAAACAATTTACAACTCACCAACAACCATGGTTGTAACAATTCACAACAAACTCTCCACAGTGCCGCAGCTGGAACCATTCACAACTACCCTACAATACCGTGGCTGGAATACTTCACAAACAAGCCACAATACTGTGGCTGAAACAATTCATCCCTTCAAGGAAGGTTCCTTGATTCTGATAAGGGGCTCTTGATCTTAGGAATTGAACTTTAAATCAAGAATGTATACCTTCAGTTTCACCAAACGCTGTGTGATCCCTACACGTTTAGTGCTTCCCCTTAATATACAGTAATAATAATTGAACAATACACACCTAACCCACAATATCATGTCAGGAACAATTCACAACTATCCATAATATGGCGGCCGGAAAAATTCACAACCCAAAATGTCGTAGCTTGAACAATTCATAACTTGCCCACAATACCGTGGCTGGAACAATTCAGAACTTGCCCACAATACCATGGCTGGAACAATTCACAACTAACTAGAGAGGGGACTACCCTATGTCCATTTTGGAATATTAATTGTATTGTCTCTCAGTGTACTCGTGGCGCCCCTGCTTTTCATTGGGGGGAATGCTGCATTTCCTGCAGAATATTTAGGTGTCGTAGGTAGTGATTTTCGTGTGCAAGATTGGTACTAATCCCTCAAGGATTTTCCAAGTGTATATTATCATGTATCTTTCTCGCCTGCATTCCAGGGAATACAGATCAAGGGACTCCGACCATTCCCAGTAATTTAGGTGCTTTATCATGCTTATGTGTGCCGTGAAAGTTTTCTGTACACTCTCCAGGTCAGCAATTTCGCCAGCCTTGAAGGAGGCAGTGTACAGCAGTATTCCAGCCTAGAGAGAACAAGCGATTTGAAGAGAATCATCATGGGTTTTGCGTCCCTAGTTTTGAAGGTTCTCATTATCCATCCTCTCAATTTTCTAGCAGATGAGGTAGACACATTGTTCTGAACTTTGAAGGCGAGATCCTCTGACATTATCACTCCCAGGTCCTTCACATTAGTTTCTCGCTCTATTGTATAGTTATAATTGGTTGTATACACTGATACAGTTTTAATTTTTATCAAGTTTTCCATATCTGAGTAGTTGAAACTTCTCTTCATTGAACTTCATATTGTTTTCTGTGGCCCATTTAAAAATTCGGTTGATGTCCGCTTGGAGTCTTGCAGTGTNCTTAGTCAGATATGGGGATGAGGAACAGGATGGGAGCGAGTATACCTGGAGAGGGTTTCGGGGGTCAGTGCGCTCGCGGCCCGATCCGTGACCAGGCATCATGGTGGATCAGGGTCTGATCAACCAGGCTGTTACTGTTGGCCGCACGTAAACCGTCGTACGAACCACAGCCCGGATGATCAGGTACTGACTTTAGGTGCCTATCCAGAGCCTTCTTGAAGACAGCCAGGGGTCTATTGGTAATCCCTCTTATGTATGCTGGGAGGCAGTTGAACAGTCTTGGGCCCCTGACACCTATTGTGTTGTCTCTTATCGTGCAAGTAGCGTCCCTGTTTTTCATTGCGGGAATGTTGCATCGTCTGCCGAGTCTATGCTTTCACAGGGAGTGATTCTCGTGTGCAGTTTTGGTACTTATCCCTCTAGGATTTTCCAGGTGTATATAACGGTGTATCTCTCCCGCCTGTGTTCCAGGGAGTACACGTCGAGGAACTTCAACTGTTCCCAGTAATTTACAGTACAATACAATACAATACAACTTTATTTCTTTGCTAAGGTTACAGTGTATGTTTACATTTCATAATTTGATTGGAACAAAGAAAGTCACTATCATCCCGAGACATGATAGTGGCTGAAAATATTGAAGATTCAACAGATTTGTTAATTAGTGTTGCAGTAATATGGGGCGGCACAGGAGT